AAGTGACGATCAATATATAATAGCTTCCGAATTATCAATAAAGATCAAGGTAAGTAAGTTTACGTATAGCTCCCGAATCATCGGTAGCGATAAATTTTGAAGAAATGCGTCTTTTATTACTGTTCAATACGTCGAAATTTCGGCAAACATTAACGAGGATGAAGCAGCTAAACTGAATCGCAAAACGAGCAATCCAAGTTATATTCTATAGCAGCCCAACTTTGCTTTATTTATTCCGCCTTTGAAACTAATTAAATATTTTGTTTGCTTTTTATTTACCTCATGTGGTCGTATAAGTTGAATCGTCAGAGGTTCTTATCTACTAAATTAGTTGAAATGTTTAGAGAACCAATTATCGGCAATTGTTGCTAGCTCAATTTTTTGTCGTTCCTCATTTATTTAAAATGCAAATTTAAACACGATTTGGCATTTCAGAGTTCTCTATTTCTTTTACAGAAATATTTGAAGGATTCTTACTATTCAAGCATTATTCAACCAACGCGCAATAACAAAAACTATGAATAAAATACGGTTTCCTCAACAAGTCCTGGTTTGCAGATCCAAACTTACGATGAAAAATCCGAAAAATCATTACGAAAAAATCACTATTTTATACGTATTTACATATTTATAACATCCAGCCTTCTGTGAAGACAGGCACAAGATGAAAAAAAATCCAATAAAAAGCCTCAAATGATATGATGCGGTCAAAGGAGGTGACAGACTTGTTACGTAACGAAATTCTGAGGTCGGGAAAAAGACATTCTTCCCGTATTATAAACGCATTTGAAAATTTACCCTGTTACGTAAAATAACCAAAAATGCAATACGCCACGAAGTAGAATATATTGAAAAATAAATATTTATGAGGGTATCATCGTTTTAGAAGTGCGAAAAAAAGCAATTCAGAAATTTTTGGATAAATTATTTGCGTAAAAAATGTGACAATTAAGCCTCTCGATTGTTCTAACGACCCCAAAATAAACCTCCTAAACCTCATAAAAGGAAGAAAAAAACATCACAGTCTTCTAGGCTGTAGGAGGCCCACCAATTCCATTTCATTAATGTAGCTGCGTCCGTGAAGACCAAAGTTGAGTGCGTCACCGAACATTCAATTGGTCTTTTATCCTCAATTTATTGTACGATAGATGAGCCGTGCAGAGATCGGATATGTCAACCTTGTTGACAAGGAGACAAGAGTTGACGTTCAATACTCGCTCAGCTCAGATGTCAGCGCAACGTGTATAAAATTTATCACTAACTAACGTGAATAAAATTCATCTATGAATTGACGCTTCGTCGTACAATTTACCGGCAACGGAAGCAAGAATATTCGTTTGAATAGAATACGAAACATGATGACTTCGTTCAGAAACTTGAATTCGACATGAAATTAGTTATGATGTTGGACCCCGTATCCTGAAAAAAATATTTCGATGCTGTGCATCGATAACTGTAAATAGTTATGATGTTAGATATCGACATCATATCGTATACTTAGAATGGTAAAAATGTGAAACATCGTATATAGTATACTGTTAAGGTGTTAGACACGGTATAAATTGAATGATTAACATAATGTATATCGCGTACAGTAAATGATTAAAAAATTAAATATCATATATTGTTATTCGTGTAATCGTGAACTTTCTAAGCGAAATTCATTCCGAATGCAAAAAATTTCTACGATGTTGAAAATAGTTTGAACTTCCTGAAGTGATCATCAATGATGGGATTTCTATTCATCAGTTGAACAAAGAAAGTTATGGATTGATTTATTAATTTTTAAGCGACTATATTGCCAAGCGTCTATTCATCAAACTGTTGTATGATGATGCCGTACGAAAGATACACTATGCATGAAGCGTTACGCACAAGATATACGATTTGCATTTTTCAGCACCTCGATGGATCATAAAAACAACACCCGATAAAATATCTACGTCTGTAATCCGTCGTCAGGGACGCTATCTAGAATATTTAACTCGACCCAATTAATGTCCACGTCCGTAATCCGTCCTCAGGGACATTTGTCCGCACTTAACACATCAGGGACATTTGTCCGCACTTAACTTGTCCGCAGTGTTAAATAATATACGTTTAAAAATTACTTTTTAAAGACAACACTTCCAAAGAATCCAGTATCTCCAATCTTACAGATGTACAATGAATTTCTCATCTAATTTTCGAAAATTAAAAAAAAATTATTTTTCTATTTTTTTAATATATATAAATATCGAACCCGCGCCTCTCTGCGCCAATCGTGGTACTCTGAACTTTAACCACTGGGCCACCCTGCCCTGAGATTACATTCATAACGCATGATATACTCATTGTCGTAGCGACGAAACAAAGATAAAGAAATTATCAACATGAACTCGACTTTTAGCACCTGCTTAAATATAAATTCCTGGTAACTCATCACAATTACTTATTGCTGTCTATTACCATTGTGGATTATGACTTATTCAAGTCCGTATAAAGAGTGTAAAATATTAACTAATACCATTAATAATATTTATATTACTAATATTATTAATGTTAATATTAATATTATTATTAATACCTTTATTAATAATTGATATTAATTAATATTAAGAACCGACTTTCCAGGCGCGTATTTCGTGCCTCTAAAAGTGGAGCTTAAAGTTCAAGGGCCAGATGATCTGTCACCTCTAGGCTGGTCAGCGTCCGCACATTCCTTCGCATGCTCTGTACTGACGCATTTCTTTTTATACACAACCGAAAGTTGAGTTCACCATGACCCAACGCTATTGTGATCGGTTATATAATAACGTTATCATTTATTATTATTCACATTATTTTTTACTTTAAATTTCCAGTACAAGCTGTACGAGGAGCTTGGGCCATTAGCTCATTAACGCTGAACCGCTGTACCGTACATTTGTTTTGATATTTCAAGTTCTGTTATATAAGATCCAAATAAATGCAATGATTCACTGCAAGATTAAACGAAATTTCTTGAGATAATTACAGAAACTGCAACAAATATAACAGAAACTGCAATACTAAAAATATTTTTTCCTCGTATGCATCTATTATTTACAGTTCTGTAGGAGTATGTCAATAATAAATTCATCCCAGTCCATGGCTGGGGTTCATTTTACGAGCCTCGTCTTGCAAGTACGAAGCTCCGGGCGCCGCTGGTGAGAGGATATCATCCACGTAAACAAGGTCTTCCATCGTCAGTTCTTCAGGCGCCGTGCTTCTGTGAGCACGTCGCGCTCCACCCAGTGTCGCAACGCCTTGCCCAAACTCCGTGCCTCATTCGCCATGCCCAAACGATATGCCCCAACTCTGTGTCTATAATCCGGGCCCCAACCTCCATGCCCAAACTCTGTCCCAATGCCGTGCCCCATTCGCCATGCCCAAACGATATGCCCCAACTCTGTGTCTATAATCCGGGCCCCAACCTCCATGCCCAAACTCTGTGTCCCAATGCCGTGCCCATTCGCCATGCCCAAACTCCGTGCCCATACCCCTTGCCCAAACTCCACAAGGTTTACAGCTGATCGGGATCACCATGGGTATCCATGTTATATCTTGGCACACGCATGAGAGTCAGTGAAGACCATTCGTTCACGCGATTCACTTCTTTTTACGGTACATAAATCATTTTGGAAGCTATGATAGGTTGTTATTTTTCGGTTTGAGTAATGAGATACTACCGTCAATGGCGATAGTGTCCCCACAGCATTAAAGTCGCTGGCCTTTAATGGAAATAATCCATTTTAATAACAAAAGTGAACGGCATCAAAACAACTTCGTAGGAATTATATGTTTATCGAACCCTACAAATCGTAGTTCTGATCAGTATTCTTCTGTTTTTAGTGGAAAGCAGCGAGGTAAGTGTGGTATCTGTTGAGTGGCGACTTATGTCTTATTACCGGGAACACGAAAGCTTGATAAAATAGGGCCTTCACTTTCGAAACGATGTGAACCCTTACAAACAATTCGTAATTCTGTCATTCGTTTAGTATTCTATCGTCCGAATTGTCACATAAACCCTGTAAAATTCCTGGCAGAGTCTCTAAAAACTCGAGTGAAGAATGCAGAACAAAAACTTATTGTGCACGAGCAACCGTTAAATCTTGGTTTCCACCCCGGTTTTCCCGATGGGTTTTATTTGCACCTCACAGCGAAAATTGCCCACAGCAAAAATTTGTAGGCGTTGCACGGTAACTCGGCAACTCGCGTATTCTTATTGTTTGACTCTTACATGGCGGTCACTATCGTTACCGGTACTTTAGATACGAATACCATTGAATAGATTGTCAATGTACTGATGGGAAAAGGTTACCATTTTCGATTAATAAAAGCAAGAGTTATTCATAGACCATTGGATACGAATACCATTGAATAATGGTATAAAATTAATTAACAGCTAGAGTCGTTCTAAGACCTTAGAATACGAACACCATCAAATATCTGGTTAATGTATCTGGAGATAAAAGTTTTAAAATTAAATATACAAGCAACCGATTGTCGGCTGGTGTCAATTATCGTTACCTACCAGACATTAGCATACGAATAACATTGAAGATATCGTTAATGTACCAGTAGACCAAAAGTTAAGTTCAGAGAATAGCAGACGGTTAGGTATGTTGCCGATGTTCTAAAGTCTAAACGCTTCCTTATTAGAACCCAGTAAAGCCATATTGGGTTGAGGCCAGGTTTATGCTTTTTGCATTTGCTCTCTCTGTTTGGTTTGATTCAGGAAAAAATGGTCCGAAGTGTGTTTGGCAAAAATTTGAAAAATATAACTCAGTACCCACTGCAGTGAGTGACAGAGAGCGCATTTTCTCGTAGACGAAAACTTGAGGTCACGGACAGACGGACAGACATACAGACGGACGGACGGACATGGCGAGCACAATAGTGCATTTTTTCCATAAATGAGAAAATGCGCTAAAAATAACATTCGAAAAGTAGTTTTAATTTTATCTGCAGTGAATTAATAGTTTGTTTGTTTGTTAACTTTTCGTACCAACTTCCTTACTGTCTGTCTGTGAATGCAAGGTTAAATGCCTAACTTCAAGCACAGACATGAAAACCTGATAGTCAGTATTTTTAAAAGTACAAATTTTTATCAATTCTAACCTAATTCTCAGATGATTTTGAGCCTCGATATCCCAGTATTTTTAAGTTCCCCGATGTTGAATTTTTAGTTGCAACCGCGTGGCATAACATTTTATTGTAAGATCATCTTGGACATTAGTTTTACCGAAAAAAATGAGCCTGAAAGATGTCAGCTGCACGTAAGAATTCTTTGATAAGGTTGTGCACAAAAAGCAACCTTGCAAGTTTCTAAATCTTCGATAAGCCCACAGAATTAGGCTCACATTCAGCGCCGTCTCTCAACTCTTTAGCTTCATTGCGATCTGTTGCAGTCAATTACGAATATGTCCTCTAGAACACGGGTTATGTAACGTGTATCATTAGCATTTTAATGTTCTTGCTGTTATTATCTATGTTACTATTACTTTAAATCTTTTCCTGGTTATATATAGAGTGCTGTTATTATTCATTTCTACTGTATTATTTTTACAATACTACCATGACTGCATTAATGCTAAAATGATTTTTTTTCTCCCAGAGGAGGTTCAATGACATTAAATTCATCGGCACGCAGATGTCGCTACCTTCAGCAAAAAAAAAAATCGGATTAAATTCAACACAAAAATTAGTCATGATTTTCCATGAGCTTCCCGTTGAGTAATACTGAGTTTGCATGACAGGTACTTCACTAATATATTTCCAAATTGGAGCATTGTAATTATCACGATCTCGCGCAGATAATCGTATTTTATTGTGGAACGCTGGTAGTCGGATTTTTTGTTGAACGTAATCGCATTATTTGCGGTGAAACTAGACTTGTAACCTCATTTAAAACCACAACTGCAACCCTAGCCGGCCCAGGAATTTAATTTACATCTTAATATTCTATTATTGTTTAATGTGATAATGGGTACGTTAAGCATTATTGATGCTTTAAATGTCTCGTCGACATGGATCATTTCTAGTCCGGCATTGCGGTCACTAGAGTAACTACATTAACCGATTTCAGAAATATTTTAGTTATATTTCAAGTACTGGTCTTGTTTTTCTTTTGGATTTACAGGTTACAGGCTTAGATATTCGCAAGGCAAAATAAGTTCAGTGTTTTTGGTCACAGTTTGTCAACTTTTTTCAAAGACAACTTGTATAAAGTCACTGTTACTGGACCCAGTTGAATATCTATTATTGAGGCACCTAAAATAACTCTAGTGCATCCTATTGGACGCAATTTATTAACTTCTCCTTACGACAAATTAGATAACTTCAGTATAATTGGTTGTCGATTGGTAACTTTTTATAAAATATATGTGATAACTTCAGTCTTACTGGACTCAGTCTAGTCTCGTTGCCTGAACTAGGGAAAAAATTTTCAGTTGAACGTTAAATTTCTAAATTTTTGGCCAAAATGTAAAATGAAGAGAACGAATGGCTTAGAACAACCAATTACATTTTGACGAAGTAGACCTACAAACTAAAATACTAAAATTTTAGGTTCCACGTTCTCAGGATATCATATCTTATCTCAGGTTATAGATGATATATTGACAAATTTTCTGTTATCTCAAGATATTATCTCTGATCTTAGGTAATAATTTAAAAGTATTGAAAATGTATTTATTCATCACACTCGTGTTGCTGGCGGTGATATTACCGTGCCAAGCTTTCTTATCACCGCCAAGCTTCCTGCGCTTCGGCAGCTGTAGCGAGGTGCCGGTGCAGGGCGGCCTCAACCTCCAGAAAGTGAGTCAACGGAACCCACTTTATTTTAAGCAAAAAATCCATTTTGTTTCATATGTTTGGGGGATGTCGTATGATGCTGTTCAATTTTTTCCTATGCGTGTGTAAAACGGTCTGAATTTTGTTTAAAGAGTAATTATTTCACACTAAATCCAACATACTTGTTCGTAAAATAAGTTAAATTCAAGCCAACTGGATTATTTACATCGTGCCTGTTGAATTTCCTAAATAAAGATTCACACTTGCTTGTAAGAGTAGATTTATAGCTAAGGTATAATTCCAGTTAAAATACACGTGCCACAAACCAGTCAATCCTTTGAACTTGGCGCCTCCCAGACACCTGCCCTAGATGGCCTTATCTTCAGCTCATTTGTTACTTCAATCAGCTAGATCTTTCAGCTCAAACTACATAGGGTGATATAACGATCATTTCTGTTTAAAAGTCTCTCGAACATCGAATGGTAAATATTCCTAATTCATTTTTTTAATTGTAGCCAAAAAACCTTGGAAAAGAGTTCATGGACGAACGTCATCCATCAGCTCAGCCTGAGCTTCCAAGGTTGAACAGCTTTTTTTAGAAACCGATTGAACTTTGAAAAAACTTTGCGCTAATTCTTAATGGTTGATTGACGTAAAGCTTGATAAGAAGAGCTTACAAGGAAAAGAATTTAGGGTGTACACTTATTACATATTAGTGGAGGTCTTTTAGACTGATCATTGTGCTGAAGCTTATAACGAACATCTTGCTTGGCCGGATTCTCGCGTGTGATCCTCTAAGGAATAGTTTGCCTTCACTTTGAACTAAATTTTCATGGCAGTACTTTAATTACTTTATTATGAGGCAGTAATTATTATGAGGCCAGTACTTTATCATCCTTTATTATCGATTACACGCAATATGTTATCTTTTGATTTTTTTTCTATTAATTCATGAGCGCATTGCCCATCATATCATATCATTCGTAGCGACATATTTCGCGCGAAATGCGGGGAAGTGTAAACTCGAAATTCATTTCCGTCGTAACACTAATGTAACCAAATAAAAGTATTTAAAAAATTATATTTCAACTTATATTCAGTAAATAATTAGAAAATAAAAAATGAAATGATGAACATTAAAAATTTATTTAATAAAAAAATTTAAAAAGATACAATTTGACATATCAAGCTTGGTACATCTGCCGTCAATTGTGTCCTATATAGCGCGTTGCTCACAGCAGCTTCTACAAATGTGCCGAAAATTTGATTGCATTCACAAACATAGGCTACTAATGTAATTCTCTAGAAATAAAAACTAAAACCTATCAAGGATAATTTCATTTTTTAAAATATGTTGGATTTAACTGGAAAAATTAATTTTTCCGTTCATGAAAAAATCAGAGAATTTCTTGTCATTTCTAAATTACTTGCACAGTAACTGGAAAAAATGCTTCTAACGAAGCATACGTCGATATCTTAGGTAGCTACAGCCTCGCATATCCATTGTTGTTTGTAAAGGTCCTTGACGAACTGGTTCTCAGGGGGCGTGGCATTCTAATATTTTTTTTCCTGCTCCTTCGCAGGAGATCGTTACACAACATTGCTCAATAACAGATATCGCTCATTAAAATGTGGGACTGAACCTTTATTTAGAACAACATTCGTTATATGGAAATTTTTAGTTATTGCACCAAATGAGCTTTTACCAAAACATACGGACTTTTTATGCTAATTTATTCAGCTGTTCGCAAAAAAGTTGAAAAGGTTTCATGGTTGTAGGGATGCCCACGTATTTTTCAGGTCGGAATAATTATTTATACTCCACAGTAAGTGGTATTGGTTAATTATATACCTAAAACGAAAGCCACTGATATGCTTTAATTTAGGTATTTAATCTTACCATAGCAAGATCATGCTACTTTTGAGGTTTTTTCACATTTTTTCGAATTAACTTATTTCATTTCTGCAACTAATTTGGCTCCCGACCAATTTTATTGGGAAAATTCAATTACTGATGTATGAGGCTTCGTTTAAGGTTTTATTTCTCCAATAATACTACAATTTCCGATCGTGCACGTGCAAGATTTACTTAACATATTCTTCATAAGAAATTTCAGTTGAAAATTTATGTTTTAATCTGCTTATTTAGTTCGCTGGCCTATGGTACACCGTTGAAAAAATGCCCAACGAATACGACCCAGCCAAGTTCTGCATCAACACGCAATACTCCTATCACGGTAAATTAATTACTAGAATTGAAGATATATTTCCTTATTAATTAACACCAAATTAATAGACAAATTTTTAGTATGTTTAAACACTCTTTAAATTTGAATCACCACTTGAATCGTCAGAAGAAAATTTGAATTATCACTTCCGTCATTCTTTCCCATGCCGAGTTAAAGCAAAAATCGATCAACCGTATGCTTCGTTCTTTTAACTAAATTTCTGTGTGAATAGAAGAATTACAAAAAAATCTCGTAATTTAGAAGGCAAAAAATTACTTCTCGTGCTTCAATTTGTCTCAGCAGCCATCGCCACCAATTTCAACAAAATTATTTTCTTTCCGATAAGCTTTCTCAAGTAGTTACTAATTCCCGTGTAATAGGTCATTTAATTGCTGCGTCAATTTACTTTCATCTCAACAGTATTTCGTCATCCCTGTGTTATCGGTCACGTGCCATGACTCTGCTCTCATTCGCACAATGCTTCGTAATTCTCGTGTTATCGGCCACTTGCCTCGTTTCTGTTCATTTCCACAGTGTTTCGTCATCCCCGAGTTATCGGTCACTTGTCTCGGTTCTGCTCTCATTTCCACAGTGTTTCGTCATCCCCATGGTATAGCCTTATCGGTCACTTTCCTCGGTTCTGCTCTCATTTCCACAGTGTTTCGTCATCCCCATGTTATCGGTCACTTGCCTCGGTTCTGCTGTCATTTCCACAGTGTTTCGTCATCCCCATGTTACCGGTCACTTGCCTCGGTTCTGCTAGCTGCCATTTCCACAGTATTTCTCCATTTCCGCGATTTCGGTCATTGACCTTTTTACCAGTTCTGCTCTGATTTCTGCGTAGGCGATCACATGGAGTCGGTGCAGCGCGGCTTGTACGAGGATCGCTCAAAGCAGAAGCTAATGACGTTCTTAGTGGTTCCCAACGTAACTGATCCTGTGATGACTGTTATTGCCGATGGAATGCCCAACGCTCCACTTAAGGTACAGTGGCTGTAATATGAATTGCATTGCAATTCGAATTTTATCAGCTCATTTGTCATTAAACATTGTGCGTTGAACAATAGCTTTTATCCATGATATGATCACTGTTGAACTAGCATTTAAATAAGATGTGTCATGCAAAAACGTATATTTAAAATTTTTTTTAATTTTTATGCCATAGTTTCTTCATTTCTGATCCTGATAATAAATTATCGTATCGTGCATAATTCTTTTGCGCAACTATCAACAAATCATCGACAATCATTTATCAAGACTGCTTATTTTCCAATTACTGTCGGATTTTCATTGTACGCGTTACACCGGAGCATTTATAAACAGATCATCGCAACAGACTACGATAACTACGCGTGTATGTACACGTGTTTGGGCTTCGTTGGCTTGAAGGCGGAGTTCGGTATGGTGCTGACCAGACAGGCCCTACCTCCGCCTTCCGCTGTTCAGGTCTGCCGAGATCTCTTCGAAAATTCCACCGACATGAATATCTCGACGATGGAAATTATTGAACAGGGCAAGGCAAGTTCATTAACCTTTCCACATACAACAATTTATTATCTTCTGGATTTAGTTAGATGTAGTACAAATTTTATTGATACCTTGTCAAGTAATGAATAGCATTGTCCCGAGGATAGATTTTGACGAGTATTTTTACGAATAAATAGAGACGCTAGATTTTTTCCGCTTATCTTAATTGCAAACGCGTACTGAGTAAACTAGTATTAATTCCAGCACACTGCAAATCCTTCCGATGTACTCCTATGATAGTGAAACTACATTAAAATCTAATCGATTTATCAACGCGCCATGCAATTTTATTAGAAGCTTTGTACAAATGTGAGAATCTCGTTCTCACACTTGAACTGTCAATTGAGCGTTATAGAAATTTCTAACCGGGTCGGGCTATCTCAGCATCTTTAATGGAGGATAAATAAATTTCTACACCCAAGAAGGCCGTATAAAATAACAGAGCGAACAGCGAAACGCACATTTCATTCTGATTGAGGACTTTACGTATTGTTCCATCGATCATGTTAATTATATAGCCGTTATCATACTTTGCACATATTTATTCGATAAATATTGTACAACAAAACTTTTTTAATTTCTATAAATACTATGATCTCTTCCATGCAAATGTAATGGTACTTTTAAACTGAAATGCTCCACAGAATTGTCCGTATTGGTCGAAACTTGACAAGCAAGATCGCGACCTGTACGAGAGCTACCTGACTAGCCGCAGCCTCGTCTCAGAGAAGGTTGGTGTGAGCTTCCACAATTAAGTATATTGAGATAATAAAGTCATGGCATATAATGAAAAATGTGCATATCTAAATTGAGAAGTACATACTATAATACATTTTATATTAATTAAGTCTCAATAGAAAATGAACCAAGATGCATGCAATATAATTGATTCTAATTAAGGACCCAAACTAATTGCGATTAAGTTAGCTTCATGTTATTTCTTCCAGTTGAATATATATCTCGGTCGCCTCTTTTTACAACACTTCTCTTTAACTTCACTTCTTGTTTGTCTGTCTGTTTGTCTGTCTGTCTGCTACAAATCTTGTAATCAAAATTTAATACACTTCTACTTATCCTATCGATCTGAAATTTTGTACACTTGTGTAAAGTTGGAGACAATGCATGAATCAAATGTCAAAATAAAAGATTTTAAAAATGAAAAAAAAATTTTTTTTCAATATTAAAAAAATTGAAAAAATAATTTTGACAGCTACAAATCTTATAACTGATATCTGACACACTTTTACCTGTCTGATTGATCTGAAATTTTGCACACTTGTGTGAAGTCAGAGGCAATGCATGAATCAATTGACAGAATAAATAATTTTGAAAAAAATTATATATTAAAAAAATTTATATATTAAAAAAATTGAAAAACTAATTTTTTGATTTGAAAATTAAATGAGAAATTCATTGTACATTTGTAAGATTGAAGACACTGGATTCTTTAGAAGTGTTGTCTTTAAAAAGTAATTTTTAAATGTATATTATTTGCTTACTTAAAATTTATATATTAAAAAAATTGAAAAACTAATTTTTTGATTTGAAAATTAAATGAGAAATTCATTGTACATTTGTAAGATTGAAGACACTGGATTTTTTAGAAGTGTTGTCTTTAAAAAGTAATTTTTAAATGTATATTATTTTGCCAATCTTGTAGTTATTCACTCATTCACTTATTAAACAGACTGATCAAGATAGAGAGACGGCAGCCGGAGCTCTGCACGACACGTTGAGCAACTCTGCAGCGAGAGCAAAACTTCTGGACCTGTCGCTGGCTTTAACGGCGTCACTAGTCTTCCTTCTACGTCACTTTTCCTAGTTATTATAAAGCAATTAATTTAATACCTTATACTGCATCTACTATCTCCTGAGTAATTATTAACATCCTTGATTTTTGTCTCGACTAGCATAAAGAAAAGATGTGATTCGTAATAAAATCCTAATTCTGAACTCCGTCATGATCATGCAGTCATTCTCTTCAAGAATTATTATTCAAAGCATGAAATACAGTACATCAAATTCGAACATTTGGTTAAACTGATTTCCTATATCGTCGTTGGATGTCGGCCCACAAAACATGAACAATGATGGGCCAGAAGACGTTGTTTGATCGAGACTCGTCACACACAACTGCCTAGTTCTTATATTTTACTGTAATGTTCATTGTTGAAGTTTGCATCGAGATTTCTCTTATGTCAGTTAGAACAAATGAAATGAAACGCCCTGCTGCAAAATGCGCAAGATAATGTTTTCTAGAGTTGAAAATAAAGGACATTTTCAATGATACAGAATTGCAGAATAATTTTCGAACGTTGAGAGCCAAATTTTTGTGGACAAAAGGATATTTTGCACTTTAATAATTGAAATGTTGCAATTAGTATATATATCTCGATAATTACGCATACTACTGGTCCTACTTGGAGGAGAAGTATGCTTGGAAAGATGGAAGAATTTCCATCTTCCTCAAATAATTCATAGAAAACTTATGTTTCAAAGTAACAGAATGACGGAACATGTCATGATTTCTTATCGTTCTGAAATGAAGGCAGTATTTTGGCATGCATGGCGTATTACACGTTAATACACAGCCTATATATATATAACGAGAATGTCCGAGTGTACGAGTTCAGCATTCATCAGCCGTCGTCTATTACTTAATGCCAAATAATAACTAGTGTCTCGTGTGAATGCATTTCGGCTTGTTATAATTTACAATAATTTTCTTGCAGGGTCCATCTCCAATTTTTTTTTAAATATCAAGTCCATAATTAGTCTTGTTACTACACCCCCCCCCCCCCAGAACATATTATACACTCAGCTTGGTGTTATCATCATATTGCCATCGGGATAGAAATTAAGCGTTTCCACGTGACAATTATGATTCAAACGCGGAAAGATGAACAAAATTGCTGATTACAGATAAAAAAACACTTATTTTTTAAATTAATGATTGACTGCATGCAACAGCAGATCTTAGATCGATTTTGAAAGGAAGTAACTTCAACAGCGAAAAGATTCATTGTAACATTATTAGATTCTCTTTAAGGTTGTTTCCGGTGATTGTTTCAATGCGATGTCAAGATTGTTTCCGTATATAGTTACCTCATTAGGCTGACTATCTCAAAAACTCGTATCAAAATTCAATCGTTACCTATGCATACATAGTAAGCTAATGACAGAAATTAGAACACTGAGGTGAGAGCAGCGTGGTAGAGTCGACGCAGAAACGGGGCCGCGGTGTCCGGGCGTCCTGCCCTGCCACTGCGCCGACTTTTTGCCGACATGTTCCTGCGTGACGGGAAGATACACTGTTTTATTATGTTCAGTAATGGCAATATAAGAGTTTAATAATAGATGTAAAGATTGATAATTATTTTGAATTTAACAAAAAAACATGAAAAGTAATTGTTAAAAGTTATTCAAGCTGAAATCTATGTAGCCGTTAGAGGCGTCGCTAAATTACATCTCGAATTTGAGTTTGGGCACGTGTTAATTAATCGAAGGCATTTACAAAATTATGTAAACATACAAATTAATACAATTATGCCATTTGAGTTAACATACATAACCCATAGTGCATGTTGACGTACTCAAGTTTTTCAATGAATGAACACACCGAGCTAACAGAGCTCAGAGAGGGCTACACAAATTTTGAACTCTCTGAGCAAAACAACAGTGAAGCACGAGTCATAATTTTCCTTCTCTGAATAACATAAGATATTGATGTTCTTATCTTAAATCTCATCTACATTATTTTAAAATTCCTTTCTTTATAAAAAAACGCGCCTCAGTAAAGGTTTTGGTTCATGGAATAATAATTTTTTGAAAATTCATTAGCTTCCTTGAAATCTGCCACTTGAAATATATAGGAGCGTGTGACCAAGATACTTATCATGTAAGGTGATACTTGTGCATGAGGTTCAACTATCGGCGGTCAAGATTTCAATGTCATTCAATGTGTTATTACTCACTGTATATCTACGTAAACATATTTAGTTTATTATACGAACATTTTGTGGTAAATTTCTTTTGATTTTTTATTTCAAAGATTGAGACTATAAAGCAGATATGGAGTTAATATTGAGCGTCCAATCTATTCATTTGAACCTTTTGCAAAAACATGTACATTTAATTACATTCGTATAGTTAGGCAGAAGCTGTTATTAAATGCAAGTTTCGATGATGACAGATTTGGTATTTGCGATCATGTTTTGACGATGCCCCTTTCGATATTTCTTATTAATTTAGAATTTTCTTATTGCTTTTCTCAATTCGGAGAATCAGGCTTTTGGCAGAATTTAAAAGTTCTTATAGTAAGATTCTATGTTCAAAACGTCGCAAAATTAAAATAAATTGTCCCTTGGAAATCAAATATTCTAGCTTTCAAATTCTACCAGAAGACAAATTGAGAAAAACATTGAAAAAATTCTTAATAAGAAATACTCTCTGGTCTTCAACGAAACTTGCATCCGTTATATTCGTACACTTCACCATGTATTGTTCTTGTTACCATTGGAAATCAACTGCTCCTCCTATCATCATAAATCATATCTCTAGCGTAGTCAACATTACGATAAATGGAGTTTGAATTACCCTCAGAAAACAAGAGGGAATCAAAGTATTTGGTATAATTTTCTTTGGAATAAATTTTGTATAAATTATATAGGTATAAATTTCAACGTATTTGGTATAAATTTGGTATAAATTTCGCGGAACAGACACGTTAAGAGGAAATCAAAGTATTTGGTATAATATTCTTTGGGATAAATTTGGTATAAATTACATTGGTATTTATTTCAAAGTATTTGGTATAAATTTCGCGGAAAAAACATGTTTAGAGGGAATCAAAGTATTTGCTATAAATTTCGCGGAAAAAACACATTTAGAGGGAATCAAAGTATTTGGTATAAATTTCTCACGGTGAGGCTGATGTCGTTGACGCTGCTGTAGAGGAAGAGCGTCTTCTCGGGCAGTCCCAAGTGCGACCAATACGGACAAGTCTGTCCAAAAAATAATTGTTAGCTTATTATTTGGATTCCGTCAGTATTTGTATATATTATTATTTGTATGACGTCATTAGTTCATCCGTCAATGACATTAAAACAGAGGTATCCGAAAAATGCATGAGCCAGATGGTAGTTCAAGAGGTTGAAATAGCAGGGGTGGCCGAGTAGTTAAAGTTCAGAGTACCAGCTAGGGTTGGAGAAGTGAGTTTCGGGTTCCAACCTTGCTACCTGTGACAGTTATGGTCGAAATTGGTGAGGTGGCCTGGATGGCCGAAGAAAGCAAGACAAGATCAGTGAGTTTCGGATTCAAAGCCCAGCAAACTGCGAAAATTCTGCGATGTCAAGAATCGGCGACAGGCCATATTTTGCCTAATGAACGCTGAAAACTATGACTTTATACTTTATGAGCATTTCGTTAAACTTTCCATTATATATAACTAGATTATTGGATTATTATTATTATTATTGTTATTAATATTATTATTATTATTGTTATTATTATTATTATTATTATTATCATTATTATTATTATTAGATAAAATAAAACTAGATTAATCCGCATATCTGGGACCCGCATAACAGTCTGCACTATAGTATTTACTCACATTTTCATTTTAATTATTTAAATAACTACTTATTCTCTTTTATACCATAAAAGGAATTAACCTGTAGGTATTCTCCTACAAATCAACTGCATGTTCTGCAAAAGCTCTTATATTACGTAATACTAATAAAGAGAGCAGTGTCAGCGTTAATTAGGCCGTTAGGCTTGTCGCCAATTTTGAGCATCGCAGAACATTCACAACTTGTCGCGGGTCTCGAACACGTCACTCACTGTTTCCATTTTGTTATACTTAACCGCCCGGCGACCTGACCGATTTCACCAGAACTGTCGCATTTCGCTGGGATCGAACCCAAAAATCACTGCTCCATTCATGACACACTGAACTGCCACCAATGGGCCACTTAACTCTAATTTTTAAATATAATAGAGTGCTGCAATACAGCACTAATTGAGTGCTGCAACTCAGCAATAATTAAGTGCTGCAACACCGAAATAATTGAGTGCTGCAACACAGCAATAATTAAGTGCTGCAACACCGAAATAATTGAGTGCTGCAACACAGCAATAATTGAGCACTTTACCTTTCCCTGCTCCACGGACTCTAGTTTTCCGAGATCAAATTCGTGCTGCTCCGTGAATGCCTCCATGCACGCCTCCATGGAGGGTTTATCCAACAGAGGATGGCGGCTCAATATCCACGCAAACTCTGCCTTCATGGCGAACGTTTTCATGCATGAGTACACGCACGCATACGTGTCATAGTCCGTCGCGATAATCTGGGGGAAAAAATCTAGGTTCAAGTTTACGTTTAAACTCATTGTCGAACGAATAATAATAGAATTTGAGTTTTTGTCGATATAAAAAATTTAACTACGACTAATTTTACATTTAAACTCATTATCGAAAGGGCGACAAAATAGTTTTGTTTTTTGCCGAAATAAAAAATTTAACTACGACAAATTTTACATTTAAACTCATTGTCGAAAAAACGAAAATATAATTTTGATTTTATGTCGGAATACAAAATTTAACTGTGACAGTAGACAAAGTTCATGCGCAGAGAAAAGGCTACTAAGCTTTTATAGTTATAAAAATCTACTTGAATTTCGTATTTCCTCATACACCGTTGAATTTTGTAAAAAAAATCAACGATCGGTTATAAGCGCGAATTTGCCGATTACTTGGGTGCCCAATTGACTCAATTCGAATGGTGTTTAGGGGCAATCCTTAGGTTAATATATATTAAATTTTAGTTCAGAAAATTTAATTTTATTGAAGATTACATGAGATAAAAAATGCGGAATATTGAAGCAAACTTTTCCAATTATTTACATAATTCTGCTTTGAAGCAATCATACATAAAAAAATCGAATTCAAGTTATATCGAATCACAAGTACACTTATTAAAAAATAGATGTGGATATATAGGGTAGGGAGGGTACATGGTTGAATATTAATTCAACCATGGGGAGGGTAGTTCTGGATATATAAATCGAAGATCTTACGTTCATGGGGGCAGTGGGGCGCAGGCCCTCGCCCCGAGCGCTGAACGTGGATGTGTCGTCCGTGAGCAGGTCGAGCTTCGTGACTCGGGACCTTTTCTCCCCCTGGGCGTCTAGGCCGCGCTCGTTGCACACGACATGGTCATCTGCAGGCACAAATGGAATCCAAAATACTTGCTAAAAATATAATATTTCTATTAAAATTATCTTAAACATTTACATGTACTGCGAAAACACATACAAGTTTGAATCCATGCGTGATGGATAAAAATATGCGTTCTAAATGTATACTACAATAAAAATCTAATTATTGTATTTTTGACGTTGTCGGGCTGACACGCAATAACGATGTCAGCTCATCGTGTGTCAACGAATGTGCAAATGAATGTGTAAGTAATAATAGAGTAAGTCAAATGTATATTCGCAGATCACAATCACTATATGTTCGCATAATCTAACTCACCAACTACCGTGTAGTTAGCGTTGGTACAGGCTACGATGGGTATATATTCATTGGGCACCCACTGTACCGTGTACCACGTACCTGTAAACTGCAAAAAAGCACATCAAGCACAATAACTTTTATTAAGAGCACGGAGAACGGCTAGAATCTCATACAGAACGACATAGAATCTCATAACGGCTAGAATTACATACAGTGAAGTATAACCGACATGTGGAACAGCCTCCCTGATAGTATCGTTGACGCTCCGAGTATGAACGCCTTCAAGAACAGACTAGACGAAGCTATGCAGGAGCATATGTTCAGTCTTAAAATGCCTAGCAAATTACGGACCAGGCAATATGTCCAGCAGCTATCTCAATCAATCGTCAGTTATGGAAAGATCGGGTTCCAAAGGCCGAATCCCTTGTGAATCAAGTCACGAAAAATTCAAGAATCGGCAACAGGCCAAGGGCCTATTTATTCAGTGCCGACATTTCTATTCTATTCTATAAGAGTGATAGTGCTCGTGATTGTGGACTGAAGTTTAAAAAGCATTCATATTTTCTGGGAACGGCAGAACGTTTTGAATTTTGCGTACATATGAACCCACGAATATTTTTTTGAAAATTGGGGATCTTTTCGAATTTTATTTTCACTTCCAGTACATTTATGTCTCCCCCTGTAACCTAAAAAATATAGTATCATCGAAACCTTTAAACCCGTAGGCATGATGTAAAGTGCAACAAATAGTCAACTATATTTATACATTGATTTGAAGACCATGTTAGGTGCGGTTTCGGAATATAATGAATGTCGCCATTTTGTTGTCGTTAGTTTTTTTGCGCATTCTGTAAGATGTGTCACTATATAGAACGCGCCAAATGTGTTTGATAAGATCTATAAGATTTATTTGCAGATGTTTGAATGTGGCATAAAATTTATGGTATAATGATTTTCCGTTCGATCTGAGCTTTGGATTTTTGTAAATCATCGAAAGACATTTGAATCTTCTCCAAATCCCAGACAGTCATCGAACTTTGGATCTGTTGCAAGCCCTTGAAAGACTCCGAGCTTCAGATCTGTCTTCAAACAGAATAATCGATCTGGATCGATATTTCGAAATCCATTGTTTAAAATTGATTCGCATTTTACCGTGCTCGTTTCTACAGCACGAGCTAATATCACTTCCATTGCGCAAGCAATAGTGCAGTTGAGAGCTCTTTATCTATTGCAATCCTTACTTGACTGACTACTCTTTATCGAATAAAGAGCACAATCTCACAGATTGTGCTGCATTAGTAGGCTCTAATTAAAAGGTTGACCACTGAAGGAAAAGTGGCGCAACCTCGACTCTGTAATGCATTTACTACAAGGATTTGCGGTCGCATACAATCGACGACAGACAAAAAAATGTACGTGTTGTGACTGGCAGACCTTTTAAGGATATCTTAGAAGCAAGTCTACGCTCACCATGCAATATAATTAGTCCTTTGAAGTGTTTTTAATATGATTTTAAGTACTGTTACCACATTACAATGAAAATAGACAAGTTTAAAAACTTAAACTAACGGATAATGATAATGAGGTTGACAAAATTCTGTTCGACTAGGGCTTCGCGTTTAGGTGATAAACTTAACTCGGATTCCGAAATTCAGAAAACTATAATTCCAACGTAATACAAACCGTACGCAAGGTAAACCTTGTAAATTGTACAATCGCCGGCCTAAAATATAACGCAATGCAGTCAATTCAGACGTATAATAACCAGTGTATTTTTTCCCAGTCGGAACCGAATGTCGTTATTCTTCTGTTTGTCAGTCGGCATGCCCTCAAATATGAGCTTTAATTCTCGTGTCTTTATAATTATTGCCGTAAAAGATCGTATAATTTCTGCGATGGAAATGCATGACCGTATTAGTTCCATGAGGTAATCAGAATGAATTACATTAATTATGTCCTACGAATAATATAGGAACAACTTCCATTAATACTGTACATGCACTGTCTACACTGTCCAGGCTTTTGCGAATGCAAGGGTACATTAATAATTCATATGTATGTATGGGTACTGTTAATGTTTCGCATGCAAAGGCTTTTAAAAAACACACATAAAAAACTACTGTCCCATGACCCCAGAACATTTTCCATTAGTAAATTTTCCTACCCTTGAATTTCGTTTGCAATTCATTGGCATTTTAGGATGTTTTCTCGTTAATAATTGAAGCTAGCGGCTAATAGAAACCTGCCTCTTAAAATCTATTTATGGTTTGAATTTTAATTTTGCAATTACTGGAAAAAACACACACCAAAAGTGACAGAATCTGAACGAACTCAATTTTATTTGCTTATCTTAATTCCCCCCCTTCAATTTATGTGCAGTTTGAAAAAAATGTGTAAGTCACACGAAAAATTTATAGTATATCTGCTGATATATTATAGCAATTTCAAATGATTTGGTCTACAATACACGCTGTGCCCTGCTATAAATGCGATACGTTCATTGATGATGATTCGTTAAAGAATGTCCGTCCACAAATTTAAAGCATTGACAATAATCCGTAAATTGATTAACGATGTAGCAGCAATTTCCTTAAGTACTGCCCAAACAATTTTACGATAAGTCGATATCCAACGGCAATTAATTAAAACGCCGTCGCCAACTGCACTCGATGTTTTGTCATCTAAAAAGTCTGGTTTGACGAGCAAGCAAATTGTCGAACTGGACGGAGTCACTTCTTGGGGTTGTCGTCTTCTAAGACAGACTGGTTTTACTACACCTTGATTTGACGAGGTTACGTAACAAATTTTTCTCAAATGATAATAATCAACAAAGTTTTCTCTCCTCAGTGATGACTAAATCCATGAAAATATAATTTATTTGTTTACTTTGTGGTCACTTAAACAAAGTTTGGAGAAGTGATGGTGAAAATACTAATGACAGACGATAAACGTATGCCAATGGAAAAAAGTTTTCCCATAATAAAACATGAATGCAATAGCAATGCAGCAAAATTCCCTATTGGTACCGAAGTCCCAAATAAAATGATGCAGTAATCAGTGACTGCGGCCAGTGTGGATCTCAAGCATAAAATGTTGAGCTTACGCCGAGCTGAAATGGCCGATCAAAAACCAGCGGCCATAAAAAATGAGCTGGAATGACCAGCATTAAATTCTCTGCGACTTATTGCAGTGTCATGATGACATCGCCAAATGTGTGCCACAACTGCTCAAAAATTGCAAGCATTATTTTCGACATACTAAAGTATCAACCTAAAAATAACGATCCATAGTTTAGAAAGTAATTTAACAATTATTTAAATAATTATCATTCAGTTAATTAATAATAAAAATGATTAATGAAGAAAATTCGTAAAACTTATATTGCAAATGACTCACCTTTGTCATGTTGAAGTCGGCAGCCGGTGGATACGCGAAGCATTGACCAAACTCGAGGAAACTTGGCAGCAAGAAACCTGCGGCCACGGGCACGATGGCGACCACAGACAGCAGAGGCAGAATGTACCCCGTCATTTTGGGTTGAGGGCCTACGACGCAGTTATTACGGACGGGCGCAAGTCTGCAAAACGGAGATTCTTCGGAAATTATTCAGTAAATGTTTTTCGCAAGAAACAGAAAGAGCTGATAAAAAACATTCTCAGGTGAGTCTGTTAAGTGTTTAATTTAATAGTATAGTATAGTATAGTATAGTATATAGTATAGTATAGTATAGTATGGTATAGTATAGTATGGTATAGTATAGTATAGTATAGTATAGTATAGTATAGTATAGTATAGTATAATAGTCTGTTCTTGAACGCGTTCATACTCTGAGCGTCAACAATATCTTCAGGGAGGCTGTTCCACATGTCGGTGACTCGAAGCGAGAAGAAATGTTATCGCGTGGATAAGTTGCACCGCAATTTTTTTAGTTCATAGCCGTGACGGTGACAATTTATTCAGAAAGAAGAATAACTGTTGCAACAATGCAGTGAAGTATATTTTTTTCATTGAATTTTATAAGACGTTTGTATGTCACACAATAGCTCACAGAAGGATAAGATAGAGCTCACGGATATAATTATATTCGAATATAAAGAACCTCTGTATTTTTGTACTCAAGTATTAATAAATTTATATAACTTCTATCTTCTAACAGCTATAAGCAATTAACATAAAATAACATAACATAACATAACATATTGATCTCGGGGCTGAAGTGTAGGCCTGATGTGGCCTGTCGCCGTTTCTTGTACCTTTCGCGACTGTTCACAGAAGATCTAAACTCGTGTCATTTGACCGGATCTTTTCATGACTGACTAAAGTTTCAAGTAGCTAATAGACTTCCACCGGGTTCGATATGGTGCTAGGCATTTCAAGTCTGAACATATATTTTTCCATAGCTTTATCTAGTCTGTTAATAACATTCCACGCAACTCGTTGATAGATGTCTAAAAATCCGTGTTACCTCCTGAGAAGGCGGTGACCATTTATTCAGAAAGAAAATGTGTGAAATTCGAGCGACTCTTGATGGTGAAATGATTTGAAGACATCATACAATTAAGAGTGCGCAGCGTCACTATCAGCATTGCTGTGCTGTTAGCATCTTATGATGGCATCATACAAGTGTGTGAAGCATCACAATTAGCATCCATGTTGCCATCAGTGTTAGCATAACTTTTAGTTATGGCTGTTCTCGTGATTGCATGATTGTAAACTTAGTTCATTGAGCACAGACGTCTACTTGACCCCTCATACTACATAATAGTCATGAATTGTAACATGACACATGCTCATTTGACTGGCTGGGTCACAAGACTTGATATCTATCCTACCTCGACCAGTGAACCAAATATATCGTGCACGTGTGAACCGAATAACCCCCACGAATGAACTGAATACTGCATATCAATGTCATTGGAGCTAAGTGACTCCCAATTTTTTCTAATTTCTCACTCAATTGAACACCTCAAAATAACCATGCTATCACTCTTAAAAATATGTACAATATTGTTTAAGCTCTTCACAGACTCTGAGACGAAAGTTTCGCGCCTGTAGCATCCATAACAATTGACGAATCTCCTCAGATGATAATTTACCCTAACATATTTGTTAACCCTGCTGGCAATTTCCCCTAAAGCCATTTATTCCCCTCCGGCAGGAAATTTACCCCAAATAAGTAATATAGTACCCAAGGTGGCAATTTACCCAAAGGAATTTATTATCTCAGGTGGCAATTTACCCCACCGAAGTTTATTACTCCATATGGCATTTACAACATTAAAAATCATTAACAAATGTAGCAATTTACCACGGGTAAGTTTTTTACTCCAGGGAAATTTGTAACCCCACGTGGAAATTTAGCCCCTGAAATTTATTACCCCTGGTATTACCCCGATATAAACGAGTTTGAGAATTACTGCATTTCAACTGATTAAACCTCTGTAAGAATTGTCAGCTCGCGCGGTGACACATAATACATCGCATCACAAAGATTACTGAGACATTACCGTAGACTATAATGCATTTTTTGCAAGTTTATTGAAGACCAGGTCATGCTTTCTATTTACAATTTCCGCACATGTTTTTTTCAGTGAGTCGAACCAAATTTCTTGCTGGCGCCGGGATGTCAAAAAGCAGGTTACAAAAATGACATTTTAATGAAATGTGACTTTTTGAATGTACAATATTTATTATCAAGCAGGCGAAGGGTTTTGCAACACTTGAAATTGAACTTTTGGAAATGACAGTAGTACAAATCAGGCCTATTGCGAATACAGTTTTAAATTTAAGCCTAAAATTACTGTGAAAATAATTTCATCTTCCACATAAATAATTATAATCATCTCCTTTAACATGTTTTATCAAAGTATTTCAACGTTTTTGAACGTTTTGAAGGGGGTTTGAGGAGCCGAAATGTGTGGAGATTTGCTATAATTTGAGTTTAGGCGAAGGAAAGTTCCAAGCTCACAGGGATTATCATTAAAAAATTATTATTTGCGCGCTGTCGAAACTTTGCCTGGAACAATAAAATTAAAGCAACATAACTATGTGAAGAACAAACTTTTTATAACAGCAACACTCGATTTATTACAGTGTTACGGGAAAAGTTCCGCAATAATAAATACTAATGCTAATTAATTCACCTGAGGACGTGCGTTCTTCACTGTTGTGTTAGAAATTTCCGTATTTCTTGAATCGTCCAAGTTGACGATTCTTTTTCTTAGTCTTAGATAGGAAGGGACCTGTAAATAGTGAATATTCGAACTTGAGCCAGTGCATGACGACCACTGCATTGTTGCTCCGTCAGGAGTTCATGATTTATTAAGCCATGCCTTGCTAATATTTTATTTTTTCGTTTGAGTGATCACTCTCAGTTTTCGTTATGTTTATTTTTTGCATTTAACTGCATGTTCGAACTTCTGTGTTTAGAAGGCTAGACTCCGAACGCGCTTGGGCTTGGCCTTCAACTTAAATTAGTATATTGGCCTGTGGCTTTTGAATTTCGTATCACGATTAAACTATTCAATAAATATTCCTTAACTGAGATGAAGGACGAAGTTCTTCATTAATCTTTACTGTAATTGCGTTTGCGTCGGAGTCTGCCTTTCTCCTATTAGTACTAAATTTCCCTGTATATGGCCACTTAAAATGCCTCTTAGAATTTCAGCTTGAAGCCAAAGATTTTAAGGTGGGTTTAGGGATTGCGATTAATGTTATATTGAGAAATAATTGAGCTTAAGTTATACAATTCTTTATTTACTGTATTTAAAGCGGTAGCATTCTATTTTTTAGAATAACTGCGACTACCGAGGGGCCAGTTTGACTTCTTCTGCCACACGGAAGAATCTCAATCTTTATTCATTTACCTGTTTATTAAGGTGTGTGCTTGATTCAAATTGAAGCATTCTTAGTTTACCTTTGCGCCATTGTTGAAACCTTTATTCGAATATTAATCACTGTTACATAGCTTGCGTTCCACTGTTTCGTTTATTTCTTTCACAGTTATGTTGGGCTTCAATTTCGTCCGTTGGGACTGATGTTTCTCAAGCTCAAGCTGTTTTTTTCCATGAGAATGTCGTCTGTGACAGGCGCCAAACTGCTTCGAGCGGCGACGTTTTCGAAATGAAATCATTCGTGTGAATTGCCTTTTGTATTAAGCCTAACAGTTGTCGAGTGAAAATTCTATTTATATATTATTTAAATAAAATATTTAAATACTATTTAAATATAACGAATTTTTACATTTAAAAAGAACAGGGAACGCTTGCATGACATTTAGAACGAATGCCAGACGCACTTGTGGGGCTGCGCGGCTGAGCCCCTTACTCTAAGCCTGAACCGTACTGCAAAGTCTGCCAACGGGTATCGAATTTTTAAGCTATATAAGTACTCATATGTGACTTATTATATAGGTACACGTATGGTAATCGTAATATAGGTACTCATATGTGACTTATAAAATAGGTATTTATAGGTAAAAACTCGTATATAGGTATTTATATTTATTATATAGGTATAGGCATGGTAATCATAATATAGGTACTCGTGTGTGATTTACTATAACATAGATACACGTGTGGTAATCCTAATATAGGTACTCATATGGTGCTTATTATATAAACGTATGGTAATCGTTTTATAAGTACTCAAATGTGACTTATTATATAGGTACACGTATTGTGATTGTTATATAGGTACTCACATGTGGCTTATTATAAAGGTACACATATGGTAATTGTTATATAGGTACTCATATGTGGCTTATTATAAAGGTACACATATGGTAATCGTTATACAGGCACTCGTATGTTAATCGTTATTTAGGTAAACGTATGATAATCATTATATAGGTACTCATTAGCGACTTCTTATATAGGTACACGTGTGGTATTTGTAATATAGGTACTCATATGTGACTTATTACAGATATGGTAATCGTTATGCGGGCCCTCGTATATTAATCGTTATTTAGGTGCACGTGTTATAATGATTAAAATAGGTATACACGTGTGGTAATCGTTATATAGGCACTCGTATGTTCCTCGATATACAAGTACTTGTATGGTATTTACTCGTTACATAGGTACTCAAAAGATTATACTCGTATTTCATACTTTTTGCATGCACTTTCAAGCATATTTACCGATTTTGTCGGCGATGAACATTTTTAACATAAAATTTTACCCCCCACAACTTCTCCGGAGGAATTTTTGTCGATTATTTTGAATTTAATTAATTCTGAATTTTATGAACTTGTCATAAAAAAACTTTTCAGCAGCAATCTCGGCAGACAGCAGTGCACTCGAATGTTCAAATTGCATTCATAATTAAAAGTTATATTAATTAAATTTAATCAACGAGTGATTAAACTTAATCAACGTTTTAATCAACCGTTTTAGTAATCAACGTTCATAATGAAAGGCTGCATCAATTAATCGATTAACAAGAAAATACATCGATTACAAGAAAAAAATGTCTCGGTGACTTCGATGTTTTTTAGACGTGAACGAATGTACAGCGAGGTTGAAAATAGTCTCCAACTTCAACGAAAATTACCCCGCAATGCTGCATGGGCTGAGGTTGGGGGAAAACCGCACCCCGAAGCCACGTTTTCAGTTACGCGAATCAGGGGTTATGACATGCGGAACTTAATTACCATAAAAGTTTTCGAAAGAAAGTAGATATAAATATAATGTTGAGTTACTTTTATTATAATAGAACGTACTCGACTGTTAGGTCTTTCGTTAAATGCAAAATTTCAGAATGTCTGCTATTAAGTGCAAAATATAATCTATAAATAATATAAGAAGTATAATATTTACATATTATAAATGCAGGCAAGGCTGCAGAGAAGTGGAGAATTTTAATTCTTATATCTGTACGCAGAAGTTCACAATAGAAGAACAGGTCCATCTCCTCCAGAGTAACGGTGACAGATTATCTCTGGCATAATCTCGTATTCTCGGTATTATAAACAAATGACGTTTTGAATGAAAGTAAAGCTAAATAATTTATTTAATAAATAATTAATTATTTAATTAAATCAGGCAGAATTAAATTTTAAAATAGAAGTAATTAGAACTGAAATTTAAAAAAAATATAAAAAAATAATATTTTATAAAATCTATAATATTTAATAAATTAAAATATAATCAAAATAAATAATAAAAGAAAATATCTGAAATATAAATTTGAAATTAATTTAATTAAAATTAAATTTTATAATAAAAGTATTTAAAATTAATGTTTGACATTGAATTAATTAGAAGTAAAAAAGTAATACAACTAAAATTTACAATAAAATTAAAATTTAAAATAGAAGTATTTATAATTAAGGTATAACAAAGAATTAATTAATTAAAAATGAAATGAAATTCAAATGTAAACATCAAAGACCTGGTTTTTCTATTCTATTTCAAGCGTTTTAAATAGCATAATTATTCTGTATGCATTATATTATTAAATTTATATAATATATTTAAATTAATAGATGCAATAAGAGAATCATAATATTACATTTTAATGTTGAACTTGAGAAAGAACTCACCTGTTTAATTATGCAAGATCTCGACTGCACCGAACGATCTGTCAACTTCCCGCAACAGGCAAATAGAAGGTAAACTCGGTAATGTGTCTTCAAAACTAGTGAAATTATTATGAAATAATCTTACATTTATTTTAAAGAGAAAGATTTGGTAGGCCTGAAAGAGAAGTTAGTTTCAATAATTCGATTCTAATAGACCTGTACACTGAAATAAATAAGGAGAGAAGGAGAAATGTGCGAAATCTGATCAGATCATCAAGTTTATGCTTGACTATAATTGAATTGAATTGCCTTGAGTAAGTCAAGTTTATTCGCAATCCATGAAATATAAAAAATTACATTAATTTGACATGTGAAAATTGCTTCAAATCACTTATTGAATTTGTACAGGTTTACAGAACTCTTGTGCTTGATGCCTGAAATGTACTCAACATGAAACTTTTTCCGATCGAATTTCAAAAAAAGATCTTCATCTTATTCATCGTTTCGGTAGTCCGTATCACGGCAATACTAGTCTAGGTATACAATTGCAAGCAATGGATTATATCATATCTTAAAGGAAAACTAATGCTTGCTTTGCTTATAAGAAGTCATAAGTGCACGAATACAATTTTTTCAACATCATTGAAGATCAGAGAATTTGTTTTATTCGCATTTTTATTATAATATATAAGAAATATATATATAATATATAGAAACGTCGTTAACGAAATAAAAATGTCCATCGGTAACCTGATTTTCGATTTGCCAGTTCAAACTAAAAATATTGTTCGATATATTGAAAAAACTAATAAGAAAATTGCGAATAAAACTAATTCTCTGGTCTTCAATGAAACCTGTTTAAAAGAAGAAATTCTGCCAACCTATACTAATTTAAGAATACAATTTTATGCCTAATAATAATAAAAATAATAACAATAACAATGATTATAATAATAATTACAATAACAACAGTAATAATAATAACAACAATAATTATAATAAGAAAAACAATAATTAATAATAATTCATTAATTAGAAACCTTGAAGATGAATATTGCAGATATAACGCATAGAGAAAAATACTTCGTGAAAAATAAATTTTGATTCCGCTTCTCACGTCCGTTAACAGAATGCACAGAAAAACATTGGGGCATTGAGTAATTGATAGTTTCATGTCATTGTTGCAAGTTCACAGCACGGTCCGTTTGTGCATCAGGATTCCCCTCAACTTTAAACATGAAGAAACTCTCATTAATATTATTTCTTTTATAAATATTACATCTTCTATGATATTACTTTTTATTTCAGTGTAGCAGTTCATTGGAACTGTGAGCACAACCTGCACCGACAGCCGCTACCTGAGCAATGAACGTCCATGCGTTCTGAAACGCTGCACAGGAGAAGGTAATACCGCGCATATTGAGGTTCCATTCGCAATGGCCGATTAGATGACTATATTTTGGTCGACGGTTTTTTAAAAATTGAAATTAGTTAAATCATGATCGTAATTAGAGCCAGTTTTGCCATTGTCGCGTCATCAGTCCATGATTAATTAAGATGATGGTTGTTAACTGCATGCCAACACTATTAATTCCAGGAAAATACAACGCTTGACTAAACAAGACTCTAGTATTAATATTTTGCCGCAAACTTTCTTAACATCGATTAAGAGAATTTCATATACTTCAATTTGTTAAAACGCCTCTAATAACATAATTTTTCCTGATAGCTGCAGTAATCACTCTTCGAAGTTGGCAAGGGTAGGGGAGGGGGGTGCGGGTTATGTAAGGATTACTAGGATCGCCAGCACAAGAGTCCAGAGGGTCCTATAGGGAGTGGTTAACCTTGAGTTAGGCCATCCGGTCTTTAGCTGAGTTTTCTCAGTTAACAAATGCAGGCTGAATTTCAAGCCTGGGCAAACTGCAGCCAGCTTCGCGGTTGCTATGGGCAAATTGGTTTTGAATTTTGCGGCTTTATTTCTTCTTTTAAAGAATGTACTCTAAAACTAAACTTAGAGAATTATATAGTGGTTTCTCGTATTACTACATGAATTCTAACTTCAATTGTGGGCGTTGAATTGAAATATAAAAAATAATTCTTTATGCTTCGCCACGAGGCTCCGTTGGGCAAAAGCCACTACCAATAATTTTTTTAGTATTAAGTACTATTCAGAAAAGACGATTCGGAAGCGTGAACGCTTGAACTTTGCGAAAGGCTACTAGGTTAAACTCTATGATGCAGTGAATACTGCGAATATTTCGGACTTTATTAATGACATGAATGTGGCTGTTTCATGGTCATTTCTCAAAGGCACGGTTATGTCTGCAGTTGATGAGTGTGTACCTATTACGCTCGGAGGAGTCAAAAAGTTCCAATGAATGAACAGTAAGTAAAGTTATAGCTCGGCTGAAGCACAAGAAGGAAGCCTGCAAGCGGAATTTTATTTACGAAGCCGCAGCGATGTTGATTATAACCTGTGTGCAAGAACTCGAAATCAAGCTAAAAATTCGGTCGCACCGCAGTAAAAAACTTTGAAAAAAATATTGCTAAAAATGCAAAGAAGGACCCGAAAGCCTTCATTTTGTACGCTAGTTCGAAGTGTTAGACAAACGACGGTGTTTCTGATTTAAAAGTAGACCAACGAAAGATATCATCTGATGAGGGCAAGGCTAACGTTCTTAATCAGTTCTTCAGCAGTGTGTTCACAGATGAGGACTTGAACAGTATTCCAGATATTGAGGAGCGCCCAGTCGAAACATGCTTTGAAATACACGAAGAAGAGGTTCTCAAGCGCCTGGTAGCTCTAAATCCCAACAAGTCATGTGGACCAGACGGCTTCCATCCCAGATTGCTCAAAGAATTAGCAACCGTTCTGGCCGGCCCATTGACAGTATTCTTTCAAAAAACCTTGAACGACAAAACTTTGCCCGCCTATTGGAAAGAAGCTCAAGTCTGACAAGTGTTGTTTGTTAAGTAATGGAATCTGTTGTGAGGGATAGGATTATCGATCACTTGACTGTTCACCATCTCCTCTCAGACTGTCAACATGGCTTCATTGCCGGTAGATCCTGCACCTCTAACCTCTTTGTGTACTTAGAACGATTGGACCCGCCTGCTGGACGAAAAGGAGCCAGTGGATGCAGTGTACCTCGATTTTGCCTAAGCATTTCACAGTGTTTCGCATGAGCGGCCGTTGCTTAAAAGTCTTTGGGAATAGAGGGAAACGTACTGCAATGGAAAAGATCCGGCCGAAGGGCCTGTTTTTAGATCTCCTGTGGAAAAGTCACGAAAAGTACAAGAATCGGCGGTGGGCCACATCAGGCCAATTCTTCAGCGCCGACATCACTATGATTTGATTTGTATGCTATTTCCGAAACTCTTTTTCGGAAATATTTTTCGGAAATTCTTTTTCGGAACTTGAGCAGTTTACTCTCGCTATGAATAGCTCGGCATATATAGATAGATAAATCAGCAACAATGTCACAAAATTTAAAAATTTCATATTAGGGAATAAGTGAATAGCAGATTGGCGCTTCATTTTAAAAACCACAGTTGCTCACCTCCAATCAGTGAATATTATTATTTTGGTAAAGTTTTCTAGCCACGTACAAGCAGTCATTCAGTGTCAAACTCGTTTCTTCAGTTGCCATTATGATAATGATCTTATTTCTTCGTAATTAATAAAATATATAACTTTCACTATTAAATAATTATAATATTTCTTCTGTTACATTAATCAGTATATGAGATACTTGAAATATATCGAATAATAAATAAGTGTTATACTTCATTTAGACATTTTCTACGAAATTATGTCGGTGCATAGCAAAAAGTTGTTGCGAGGCTGGCCCTTTATATTGCTTGAATTTTATTGCGTATTTTCTATATAGCAATAAAATAAAGAGATACATAATTAGCTATATTTGTCCAACATTTGCATATACCACACACATGGATTTACAGGTTATCCTACTCTGTTTGAACTTTATTAACTTTAACTTTGAATTTTTTTAACATTAACATACATGGTCTGTTGGGGTGATAATACGCGATCCTTGTCGTGTCGGGATGTTGTCTGCATGGACCTGAAATTTGACTCTCGGTGAGAGAATGGAAAACGATTGGAGGAGAAGGAGAGAATTGAAATTTAATTATGCAATTGGTAAATATAATTTAATATAAAGTACGTAGCATCGTTTCTTAAGTATATTAGAACGAAAGGAAAAAGTTACTCCTATCGCCGATCCAATCCTTATTCAATTAGAATCTATAATCACAATAATAACCAACGGGATTATGAATAACGGCAATGACGCGATTTGTGATAGTAAAAGAATTATGAATTGTGGGGATTATTAAGCATGGACAATGCCGAGGCTAACATGCTGGATTCTTATAAATAAAAAATTATATACACTTTATTAAAATAACTTTCCAATCATAATTCCTAGTGAATCCCAATGCTTCGTAACAAATTTGCGGAATTTTTTTAATTATTGAACTAACGTGCGCGCATTACTTTAAAATTGTAAGAAATAGAATTCTTCCTTGGTTAAGGTCATGGTATAATAGGTGCTTCTGATCGTTTGCGTGATAGTCTGACATATCAAGTGTCAGACTGGACGCTTTTTGTCTTCAAATTGTTTCTGCGGCGTATTTTTTTTAGATAAAATTTGCATTTCGTAACCTTGCAATCGGCATTAAATGTTACTAGCAGGTTAGCCCGACGTTGCACAACTTGTAAATTTCCTTAATTTATAATTTATATTTATACTGTTAATTTCTGCAATAACTATAATTAATAATCTGAAATTTTGTATTATGAAAAATACAGATCTTTTCAAACTCACATTTTATATAGAAAATACGACTCCATTTAATCTCGTTTTAAAATATCGACAGAACTATTTTGCATCTTTTTAATTAAATTAATATATACAATAATATATAATTCCAGTACTTAATTAATTTTCATTTCATCGCTTCCTTTCCTCTGATCCTATCCTATAGCACTGAGTGAGCTTGTTGTTGTTGTTCAGAAGCAATAGTATTATTCGACTAGGTATTAACACGTCAATTGATTACAATTAATACTTTATGACTTTTTTGTTAGTCTACTATACGCAGGGTGCGTGCGATACGCAGGGTGCGTGCTATACGCAGGGTGCGTGCTATACGCATATTGCGTGCTGCACGCATGTTGCGTGCTATACGCAGGGTGC